ATAAGGCTGCTCACAACGTGACTTCCCCCAGAGCAAGTGATTCAAGAGTAAGAGAAAAAGCCACCAAGATGGAAGCCACAGTGTCTTTTATAACCTAATCTCAGAACTGACATATTAACACTTCTGCCTTATTCTGTGGGTCACACAGACCAACCCTGGTACAGCATAGGAGGGAACTACACAAGAGTGTCAATACCAGGAGATGAGACTCACTGGGGATGATCATGGAGTCTGGCTACCATGGATAGTTAGGTAATTTTTCTGAACCATATTATGGTATAAATAGATCATTTACAAAGATGAATTTGACAACTACATGTACTACATTTCTGCATTTAACATGATAAAATGGAATCTTTAAAAAGAGTCATGTATCTGATCTATTTGGTATTATTTAGTTACATTGAGAGGCACGTATTTCCTTGAAATACCAATTTCCAGAAGAATGGCATGATGCTATATGCAGAAATGTCAACCTTGAAGCAAAACCTCCATTGTGATGTGTATGTGAGCAGAGAGCACTGCACTGCCCGCTGAGGTCGGGCATACTTGATGGGGAAGACGGAGCTGGGGAAGCGAGGGTGTACTACACACCCCCTGGAGGTGTGCCACACTGCAAAAGAGCACTAGGCCAGAAGTCCCAACTCTCAGCTGTTGTGTGACACTAAGTCACCCTCTCTTGTCATCTGATAAGTAACTTGAGTGCACTGGAGTAGATACGACATTTTAATTCTCTATCTACTTGGTATGTCTGCCCTTTCCGCTCATCTAACTGCATTTGTGGCAGAGGATTGGCCCCTGCAGAGTTTTGGCGACACAATGATGCCCCCCGGAGGGCTGATGGGGGCGATAAGGCTGTGCTAGTTACTCTTCTGGCTGATGAGTTTGATCATGGAAGTGGAAATTGAAAATTGAAGAAATAAGAAATTGAGGCCCAGGAAGACTCAAATAAGGTAACTTGAATTTCAAAATTTTGAAGCGAAATAGGACTACAAATAATTTACACTCAGAGAAATAAATCTAGCAGATTATAAGTAACCAACAAGTTATTTCTAGTGAATTTGTGAAAGGTAACTATCCAGTTGCATAAATAGCATGTATTTTTAAATATAATTTCCATAAGAAATAATGATGTCACAATAATTTCTACCACATATATGTAACCTAGGATTCTGTGATCAGATTGAGTCACCATTGTGGGGTCAAATTTTTCTTTAGTATTTGTAAAAATATCATTCATGGTTCTGTTCCATACCTCATTGGAAGGCCAATATCTTTCCTACAGTTTTCAGAAATTTTCAAGGATCTATGTGTCCCAGTCCAATTTCTAATCCCCACCTCAATCTGATTAGCATGTCCTTCTGCAGCGGAGTTGATCTCTCCATGCAAGATCAGCACAAACACGGACAACAGGCCCTTTACTGTGATCCCCCCAAAGCACACAGGACACACAGCACGTATTTTTCTGGAGGTTATTTAGGGGAGGAGGGGCGGGGGGGCGCTACTATTGGAGAGATCACGTAACACATAACAGAAAACCCCTTAAAATTTAAGATTTTTCTTGAAAGATTCTGCAGGGATTCCTGCTACTAAGGGATCCTTTGACCACAGCCTCCTACCATGTTGCTGGGCCTATTTTGGCATCATTGCCACCTTGCTTATTGTTATTCTGATGTTCTTCTTGACTCTTCATCCCCTCCCCCACTCTGGGCCCCACGCTTATCCTCCTTTTGTTCTTTGTTCTCCTTCAAGACAATGCAAGGAAGACTTCTTTCATACCCAAAGCAGCCACCAAGGTATTTTTCTAAACGAAAGGTCATTTCCCCAGTATGCTGAAATCCACCGCAATCCATTGTTGCATTACAGGACAAATTTTCTTCCTTCCCAAATGTAATGCAAAAATATGAAACTATAAGCAAAAAATTAAGATAAACGTGTGATTAATGCTCTATTATTTCTGACACTGGTACTTAAATATTACCTTATTTTGTCAATAATAATGCATTTAAACTACTCAAGTTCTTTGGTGGTATAACACTTTAAATATTGGACCTGGTTTGTTTGACAAGAATAAGCCTTTCTAACAGTTGACAACTCATGTAATTGCAAGTACCTAACCACTTATTCCTATTTTGAATAATTATGCATTGTTACTTTAAATATAGTGTGTTAAGGAGGTAATTTCTTTAAAAGAATTACTTATTACAATAATTGTTTTAAATATGCAGTCACCTGCTATGTATAGCATGTATTCAGTACATTTTATCTTCAAAATGCTTCTGCCATATGAGTTAGTTTATTTCCATAAGCACCTCAGTGAGACGGATGAAAAATATTATCGTCTTTTCCAGGCGCGAGTATGAGATGGAGAGAAACTGCCTAACATTACACAAGGAGAGAATCAAGATGAAGAGAGAAGCGAGATTTTGGCTGTATTCTAACCTTACTTACTATAATATCTACCCAGTTTTCTTCTTAAATAAAGGAGAAGTTGAGTCTGGGGATTCGCGTTGTTCTCAGAGATGGTGGTGTTGGCTTCGCTCTGTGGTCCTTCCGTGGATGTTCCTGGGACGTCACTTCTCCCTCACCTCTCTTTGCCTTTGTTTTATTAGGTGGAAGAGAATGACAGTTTCAGATTCTCATGTCAAGATATCTGTGGAGATAAACATAAAAAAGCAAAGCCAAACTCAGTGATATTTTAAAGCTTCCAAAAGCGTCCTGGGACCCTTCTGGTGCCTCAAGAGCTGGTCAGACCAGAGGAGCCTTGACCTCCAGCCTCTCGTAGCCGCTTCTACAGAGGTGACATGTCACTGGGAATCCTCTCCTCGTTTGAATTTAGGCAGTTCTCCAACTATCAGAATTTAATTTTTATTGTGTAAGTAAATGACTTCAGTGAGAAGAAAGCTTATAATCTGTGTACTCAGGTAGCTAATAATTGATGATTGTTTTGAACATTTGATATATTTTTTATATTTTGTCAGATCCCCTCACTCTTCTCTTCAAAATCCTCTGACAGCTTCCCATTTCACCCCAGATAAAATGTATGCTTTCCACAGCCTACGATTCCTTCCTCCAGCCCTCCCTTTGCCTCCTCTCTCCCAGCCCCACAGCCTGGTGGCCCTTCCTTGGGGCCGGGAGCACACTGTCCTCCCCGCCCCCTTAGGGCCTGTGCACTCATTTTCCCGCCTGCTCTGCTTCTCCAGAGACTGTCCGGCTCTCAGGACCTGTGAACTCTGGAAAGTGAACCTGCTTTAAATACAGGTCGAGCCTTGTTTCTTGACACAACTTCTGATAAAAAGTCCTTAACTTTGACGGTTATACTCACCTCACATCTGACTGTCTAAATGTAAGCTATAGGTTCTTGTTTTTGGTGAGAAAGACTGCCCCTGAGCTAACATCTGTGCCAAACTTCCTCCATTTTTTTTGATATGTGGGACTTTGCCACAGCATGGCTTGATGAGCAGTGTGTAGGTCCGCACCCAGGATCCGAACCTGCAAACCCCGGGCCACCGTAGCAGAGTGGCCCGCCCCAGCTATAGGTTCTTAATGTGAACATTCATCTAGAAGGGATAGCATTCTCACCTAGCTCTGAAAATTATATCCTTTTTAAAAATGCAAAAGGCACTCAAATTCTATACACAGTTTTCTCTTTAAAATATCTTTTGACTTTTTAGGCATAAAAAATACTATAAGAAATTGTCTAGTTTGACTCCAAATTCCATAAAACATTTGCAACTGGATCAGTCAATCTCCACCTACAAATCAGAATAATTATTGAGCTACTATTTGATGTCAGAGTGAAGAAATGAAAGCCCCAAGGCCTACCTTTGTGTCTATTCTCCTTTCAAGTTACTGTCCATCTGAAGACATAACGTAATAAGAACATAAACAAAGAGCCTTCTACCCTTTTCCTGATCCCAGCATCAATGATAAATAATGTCCCAATATTCTTAAAGTTTGGCTTTATCTCTGAACACCTATTAGGGATTAAATTTGGCTATGCTTACCCATCCAAGTGTTTAGGGCTGAAACTATTTGGAACAGATTTAATGACCTTTGATAAAAATTTATTTAACCTGAATGTGTCTAGGTATAGTGGTCATATTCTATCAGTGTGCTCCCATAAATTTATGATGTTCTGAAAATGTGGATTCAACATGGTAAAAATAGGAACATCAGTTATGACAATGCTCTAACTACACTACACGTGGTACGTGAGCAAATGACTAGCATAGATACTTACAAAATTTGAGTTTGCTGAAGTGATAGCTTCTTATTCATTCCTACAAATCCCTAGAGATGCTGTAGCGGAAAACAATTTCAAGTGATGTAATGCTCCTCTGCACTTTCCTTGCAATGACTGCTATAATAGACCCATTAGCACTACAGGTATTTATATTTTGCTTTTCAAAGGATAGGCTCAGGCGATGTGTGCCAAGAGTTCATTGAATGAAATTTTACCAAGCAGCATCTTCCAGCATGTTTGAGAATACCAACTGCAATGTGACAGATTTAATTGTTCAGCAAAGTGGAAATGCTTGCTTGGTTAATGGTGTCTCTCTAAAGCAGGATCAGATTACTGTGGAATTAATCCAGGAAACCCACCCTCAGAAACAGAAGGAAAATTCTGATTTTTTAATTAGTGGGAGGAGGAGTTATCAGTTTTAATATCTTCAGAAATTAATCCTTTACAGTTAGATTTCTCAACTTCTGTTTTTCCCATTGGGACCTTTAATCAGATCTTAGATATATCAGTAAACTGGGATTAAGAAGATGGGTTCAGACAGCCAGACTCGGTGATAACTCTGTTATGATCTTCCCTAAAGACTGAAAAATGGAAATATTAGTGTTTATTGGGTCATACAGATAACAATGCCAGGAATCTCTTCTATAATTCATAGGTTACAAATGAAATAAAATTGTACTGAGATAGTAGAGCACAGTATTTGCAAAGATGGCAAGGTAACCAAATTCCTCTTCTCTGGGAATGTAGAAATCTGGCTTCTTTAGTCTTCTCTTTTGAACAACACCCTTTTGAACCCTCTTTTTCTCTAACACCCAAGGCACGATTTTTTTTTCTAGTAAATAGTTATAGTTGATTTTAATAGTAATACCTATTTATACTTTATAAAGACATTTATTTAATAAATCAAAATGAAATTGAATTAACAATGAGTTTAGCATTGAAGACTTGCATCTGATAAGATTTCTGCTCTTTCAAAACATAGTAAGACATCTATCTGTGATTTAATACTGGCCTTGGCTCCCAGAGGTTTTGGAGATCTGATGAGTCTGTCATTCTGAATGGCTGTGGAGAAGAGACGATGGTTAGGTAATTGGATGGTGAAGGCGATTGGAGGGACGTTTAGCATAGTTTCACCATCATTCCTAGGCATAAGCTGATGCACGGCATGAATGAAGTTCACCAACATGATGACAGAGATGGGAGGGTGGAATAAAGGCACAGGAAAAGTCCTAGAGCTGTGTCTGTGAAGTTTTATCATTTGCTCAGGGATTCCATTCATGTGGTTCTGATGTCATTCATGGAGTTGGGGATCTTAAAGACATTGGCCAAGATAGACAACTCCACATTCTGCGGAGAAAAGAACAAAGCAGTTCAGGAAAGAACAAAATTTCCCAGGTTTTTCCTAGCGGGACAGGCTGTGGTGTCTCTTGAGATCCTAGCTGAGCTTCGACCCAGACCCATAGCTGCCGCTCAATAAGACATTTCATTTGAACTCTATAATACCAAGAAAACTAATAATATTTAGTATTACAATTTCTTTTCTTGAGAGACAGAGTGGGCCATAGGCAGGTATTAGGATGCTTTCAGCTGCAAGTAACAAAAAATCCATGTAACAATAAGGAAACAATAAAGAAAACCTATTATGACATGGAAGGTTTGGGGAATGGAATTTTTAATGTTAGTTAATTCCGCAACTTAGTGACAATATCGAAGAGCCAGGTTTTTTTCCATTTTTCTCCTCTGTCATCTACTTCCTTGCAGTTGCAAGGCAGTTGCGCCAGCTCAGGTATCACATCATGCACAACGATGTCCTCAGGCCAGAAGAGAAGACCGTGCTTCCTTTTCTTAAGAGCCAGGGAGGTGTCCTCAGAAGCCTCTCAGCGTTCACGGTCTCACGTCACATTCACAGGACTGCACTCTTCCTCTGTCCTAAACTAGAGTGAGAGAAAAAGAGCAGGCATTATTGGCTCAGACTAATCAAAGGACCCAAAACCCGCTGAAGCTTGTGTGATATTTAAGAAAATGAGGGTTCTTTGGCAGGAAGCAAGGGTGAATGCATATGGTGTAGGCTGGCAGGTGGCAGACCATCAGTTCAGTTTCCATTGTACTCAGCTTAACAAAGAGAAGCAGTAAGATATAGTGCAGAGTTTCTCAGTCCCAGCACCATTGACATTTGGGTCTTCACTGTGGGGGTTGTCCTGGGCACTGTAGGATGTTTAGCAGCACCCCTGGCCTCTACTCAATAGATGCCAATAGCAACCCCTCCTCCAGGTTGTGACAACCAGGTTTTGTCCTCCGGCATATGTGAGGAGGGGGCAAAATTACCTCCCACTGAGATGCACTGATGGAGTAGATTGACATGGGAGAGGGAAACTGCCCAGGGGTAGGCTATTGCATGATGGCTGTAGGCCTGACGATGGGCTTATGAACCTGATCATATGTTGGACTAGGTTGTGCATGAGCGATTTGAGGCAAAGTATGCCATGTGTACCTCCTGAAGGCTTCTGCCTAATGTATGGGGCTTGCTGGTCACAGATTTGCAGCTTTCTTTGGTTTTTTATAAGGTGACCTACAAGCCTTCCTGTGTGTGTAGATATCTTCCAGGTAGTGGTCAAAGTCAGGGAACGTGCTGGTGCAGGGTTCAGTGGGGAAAAGGCAGAGGCTGAAGTTATGATTTCGCTTGGAAAAAATATACTCTGTGTGGGAATGTGAAGTGAGTTGTTATAATGTAATTCCATTTGGCCTGCTTAACTGACAAGAGTCCTAGTACTTGATGAATTCTCCTGCTGTAGATCTTCCTCTACTTACGGTGGAGTTACATCCCTATAAAGCCATGGTAAATTGAAAATATCATTAAGTTAAAAATGCATTTAATACACCTAACCTACCAAACATCATAGCTTAGCCTAGCCTCCCTTATATGTGCATTAGCCTACAGTTGGGCAAAATCATCTAACACAAAGCCTATTTGATCATAAAGTGTTGAATATCTCACGTAATTCCTTGAATATATACTGAAAGTGAGAAACAGAATGGCTGTCTGTGTACAGACTGGTTGTAAGCCTATGGGTCGTTTACCCTCGTGATGTCACGGTGACTGGGAGCTGCGGCTGCTGTGGCTGCCCAGCATCTGGAGAGAGGATCGCACCACGTATGCTAGCTCTGGAAAAGATCACAATTCAAAATTCGAAGTACAGTTTCTATTGAATGCATAATGTTCTTGCAGCATCCTAAAGTCGAAAAATCGTTAAGTCCAACCATTGTTAAGTGGGGGACGTCTGTAAATGGTTTAAATGCAGTGGTTCCTTGAACTAAGGAACTTTAAAAATGGCCCTCCAGAATCATGGCCCGTGGTCTGAGACATACTTGAATGGAATTGGTGGAGTTTAAAGGTTCAAATTTCTTGCTTGAAGGTGAAAATAGTCACCATATTAGATAAATCGAATAGCTAAAATACACCGGTTATTTAGAGATAGTGTTACCTCAAACTAATTCTGACCGTTTAGGGTCCTCTCCCTCCTTCATTATATTTTCTCTCATTTCAATACAAGAAAGCAATTTAAACAGTACAAAATTGTGGAAAACTTGAAAGAGAGACATTTTGGGGACAGAAATAAGCAAAGATATCCCTGGAGGAAAAAAAAAAGATGAAGCGGAAATGAGGCACAAAACAGGAGTATTCGGAAGGGATGAGAGCAGACTGTGGACAGATGCGCAGCGAGGTCCAGGGTAGCAGCTGCACGTAATTTATTAAGTCACAGACTTTTTAAATATTGGCGTTCATATTTTACAAATGATAATCTACTGCATGTTTCATGCATTGAGGGTTAAGTTGATTGCTGTGATTTATTTTAACAGTCAACTCTGTTTGGCAGGTGGATATGAGTAGGTGTGTGAAGCAGTACTGCCACCACATAACAGCTGTGTGACACTGAGAAATTACCTAACGATCCTGGGCCGCAAGTCCTGTAAAAGAAGGCTGCTAAGAGACCATGGTACTCAGGCCTGTTGTGGGCATTTTCCCAGTTATTTCAGGGTAGATTACCTATCACACAGGCTGGCATAGAGAACATGTTTTACAACTGTTGTTGCTGTTTTTAAAATATTTTTTTGATTTCTATCTATCCAGCTGATCTTGGTGCCTATCTAAATTTAGCCGGCTGAAGATGTCAGCCTTCCCCACTAATCAAACACATGCTTAGTGCTTCTCATCCCAATTTGGAACAGCAGTGAGCAATACTGTAGTGACAACATCTAGACGGAAAACACTGAAATGTTACAGAATAGACAGTGATTCAAGTTTGGGACCCAAGGATGACTCAGTACAGGTTTGTGAAGCCCAAGGAGAAAAACAAAATTCTGCTAATTATTTTGAGAATAGAATTTTTGACTTTGTTCAACTATAAAAGAGTTCATATATACAAAATAATATATATAATGCATATATAAAAGATGTAAAGACTAATAAGACAAGCACCCATGTACTCACAATATGGTTTTAAAAAACACAACACACATTGCTGTTCAAGACCCCTGTGCACCTCTCACTGAATTTTGTGTCTATCATTCTGTTGCTTTTCTTTGTAAATTTATAACATATTAATAACCCCTAAGAAACGTAATTGTTTGGTTGTTCTTTTATTTGAACCTCATGTAATGGCATCTGCTCTCCATATTTTTCTGAGACTGGCTTTTATTAAAAATCAGTATTATGTTTTTGACATTCATCCATGTGGGTATGTAGAGATGTAGATCATTTATTACCACTGCTGTAAACATTTTATTGTCAGACCAAACCATTTCCTATTGACCTATTAACCATCTGATGGACATTTGGGTTGTTTCTAGCTGTTTGTTTTCCCAAAGATGCTGCAATGTTTATATCTTTTGGAGCACGTGGGCAAGGGTTTTTGGAGTAGAATTATTGGATCAGCGAATTTAAGTGTCATTGTTGCTACAAGATGATGTCAATTGTTTTCCAAAGTGAATATATTCATTTATACTCCCAGCAGTAGTGTATAAAAATTCCAATTGCTCTATGTTCTTACCAAGAATTAGTATTGTGAGACTTTTTTTAAAAAATTTTTTGTTTATTGCAGTAACATTGGTTTATAACAGTGTATAAATTTCAGGTGTACATCATTATACTTCTATTTCTGCATAGATTACATCATGTTCA